ACCTTCACAATGAGCATCATTGTGTATCCAGTGTGACAGGCAGTGGCAGGAAAGGAGGCAGCCAGGAGAGGATGCTGAGAGTATGCACCCTCTTTGAAGCAGGGGAGCAGAGTTAAAGCCTGCTAACACACAATGGTCAGGCTGTCTTCTTACATCTCCCCACCTCTGACTTTTTTTTTCCAGTGAGATCTCTTCTTAAGTGTACACAGGTGCATAATTACAAGGGATTTTGCTTGGAGGAGCCTAGCAGTGTTGCCATAGAAAAGTAAAAGTGTTCCAGAAAGAAGAAGTATCGTAGCAAAGAGCAGTGCATTGAAATTCATCAAGAAACCTTGCTACTTTGGGGTGTATTTGTTTTAAATGCCACTATCTGAAATGCGTTACCGACTACCAGCAACTTGGCGTGAAGCTTGAAGAATATAGAGGCATCTGTAATGCTGTAGAAATGTTGCAAAACGAGGGAAAGTGGGCATTTTAAGGGGGAATTCTCAAATACTCACAGTGCTCAGAATTTTAATGGAGCTATCGATAACCTTGTTATCTAGTAGAGTTCTGGCTAAAAAATGCATTAAACTTCTTGGCTGTAGTCAAATGAGTGGCAGCCAGAGATGGCATACATAGTGTACTTGGTAAAAATGCTGTTTATTGAAAGTATTAGAGTGGTCATTATGTTCAAGTACAAAGTTTTGATCCTCTCAGTAAATTTAATCTAGAAAGAATAAAGTGTTTCAGACTGTTTTTAAGTTTCAGTAGAACACAGGGTACTCTGTGAATTTTTCCTTAAGAGGGTGTCAAATGTAAAAGCTGGTTTTGATATATTCACACATAAACAGAAATACGTTTTCAGGTTGCTTCCTTGATTCTTTCCCATTATTGCCTACTTGTGGCTAAGGATATGGTGACTATAAACTCAAGCTTTCAGCTATTTCAGAAGTTTATATTGAACATATATATTCAGTTGAGTGTGAGTATCTGTGTGTATGTTAATCCTATTCAGAGAATTTGAAAGTGGAAAAGAATTCAAGTCACTGTATTATCACTGTTTTAACCTCTCCAAGACACTTTTCCCTAATCTGGAAATGGGGCTCCTGATTCCCTAACTTTCAGAATGGTTTTAGGGGTAGAGTAAATAAATGTACTAAAGTATGTAGGAAAAATACGTTTCTCTTCTGTGATCAAAACAATTACATTTTGTTGCCTTTCCCTTTCCTCATGAAGTTGAAATGACATAACCCAAAATAGGTAAAGCCCAAAATTTATAGGAAGCATAGACTCTCTTAGCTAGAAGGAATCTTAGAGCATATATGGTTCAGTGATTCTTACCATTTGTTTGGCTCATAGACGACTTTGAGAATCTGAAAGTTGTGATCCTTCACTCCCCCAAAAATGCCTCTATACACAAAAATTAGCATGTAATTTTAAGGGGTTCAGGGACTCCCTAAAACCTATTCCTAACCCCTAGGGTTAAGAATCCTCAACTTAATTCAACACCCTCATTCTAAAGATGGAGGGACTTCCCTGGTGGCGCAGTGGTTAACAATCCGCCTGCCAATGCAGGGGACACGGGTTCGATCCCTGGTCTGGGAAGATCCCACATGCCACAGAGCAACTAAGTTCGTGCTCCACAACTACTGAGCCTGCACTCTAGAGCCCACGAGCCACAACTACTAAGCCTGTGAGCCACAACTGCTGAAGCCCCTGCGCCTAGAGCCCGTGCTCCGCAACAAGAGAAGCCACCGCAATGAAGAGTAGCTCCCGCTCGCCACAACTAGAGAAAGCCCATGCGCAGCAACAAAGACCCAATTCAGCCAAAAAAAACAAAAACAAACAAATCTAAAGATGGAAACATTAAAGAATATAAGTGATACGCTCTTGAGAATTAAAAATTATTTTGAAAACTCTTCCCCAAAAATCTCTAATAATTTAAGAACACAGCTTCATCAATTATTTGAGCAGTGTCCTTGGACTACAGCTGCATTTCACTGGTGGACTTGCTGTCTCGTCCACCCTTGGTTTGTGAGTGACAGAAGAGCTATTTGCAATCCCACACAAAGTGAAATGAAATAATTTGGGCATTGATTCTATTTTTAACATGCCCTTTCCCAAAAATTATACTACTGCATTCTCAGTAAACATTCATTAAGTACCTGTCATGGTCCAAAGCCTATTCAAGGTAGTGAGAGCACAAGATCATGAGACCCAGTTTCTGACTGATCTGGGCCTAGTCTAGTAACAGCTCATGAGCTGGTAATAGGGGAACCCAGAGGGAGGAGCGACTCACCCAGCCCCAGAACTTTAGGAAGGTCCTACATTTAAGGTAGCATTAAAGCTGTGTCTTGAATGATGAGTAGGAGTTTTCCAGGCAAAGGATCCAGATATCCTAACCCCCTGTGCATGCAGATTTTACAATGCACCACTTTCCTTTTAGTTTAGAATAATTTGCTTACTTTAAATTTTATGTACATGGTAATTAGGTGGGGTGGCCCATCGAAGACCCATTTGGTGGTTTCATCAGCCACGCATCTCCATTCTCTGAGCCATGCAATCTCCAAACCTCAAGGTCATTATCCTCTCTGACCTGCAATTTCTGTCACTCACAAAGACTTGCAAATCCTTTCTTCAAAGCATCCCTTCTACCTTTCTCTTCTTTTCTGTTCCCATTCCCGTCTTCCCATAGTTCTCCATACACTACACCTGGTCCCCACCAGTCCTTCCTTGTACTACACAACCACAAATACGTTCTCCCAAAATTAATTTATTCTGAAGCCCGGCAAAGAAACATTTGCTCCAGGTTACCAGATAGGATATAGCTACTGAGTCTATTTATTTTCTTACTTAAAGCCTCAGAGAAAAGCTGAGAGAATCCTGCTCCGGACACGCAGGCTCAGCGGCCATGGCTCACGGGCCCAGCCGCTCCGCGGCATGTGGGATCTTCCCGGACCAGGGCACGAACCCGTGTCCCCTGCGTCAGCAGGCGGACTCTCAACCACTGTGCCACCAGGGAAGCCACGATCCAACCTCAGGCTCCTCACCCATCATTTCCCAGAACTTTTTTACTCCAGCCAGGCAAGTGCAGGGTAGAGATGCTAAGAGCCCACACCAAGTCAGGTCTCACCTTTACCACGTGTTAGCTGTGGCATTTCATCTCTGCAAGCTTGTTTCCTCATTTACGACTTACGTGAGTAAATAACCAAATGGCTTAAAGCTGTTAGGAAAATTAGTGTGATGACACATGGGAAGTGCCTGGTGCCGGGTCTGACACGTAATTGGCTCTCAATAAATGGTGACATTTGTAGCCACCTTCATCGTCACCTTCCTCTGAAATGCACCACATCTGACATGCAAGCATTTCTAGAAATCCTTGCTCCTTCTTACCCAGGTCATTTGCTTCTCCTTTAGGACCTGCTTCAGGTTCTGCTTATCTTCCCACTGATATCCCGCCCCCCCCCCCAAATACACCTGCTCTCAGCAGTCTCTCCTAACATCCCCTGCCTCCCCTCTGTTTGCTTTACACTGTTTCCAAACTTTGAAGTTTCCTCACCGCAATAGCGAGAGCTGCCCCCAAGTGGAGCAGACTGTCGTGCAAAGTCACAAGCCTCCTTGACTTCACCCTCGTTTGAGGATGTTGAAGTGATCATGAAACAGAGGGGAGGTTGGATAGTGGATGTCTAAGGGTCCCAGCAGCAGTGATTTTTGGAGTCTGAGTGGTTTAAGAGCAGGGACATGTCTTCTACTCCCTCCTACTTCCCACAGCTAAGATTATTGTGGGCACACTCTGTTGTGTTTGGCGGACTGTTTTCCTGAAGAATCGTCCTACTCTTTGATCCCTGTGACAGATGAGCAGTGGCTTTAATCCTGCAGGGGAGTTTGGGAGGATGTGTATCAGGGTTGGAGGATGGGAAACCCCACGTGCATCACACTGTGACCCATAGTGAGCTTATAAAAAGTGTTTAATGAACAAGCACCAATCATAGGCTGTTTCACTGAATCGTATGTCCCTTGGGAACAAATTAAGAGCAAATGGAAGTCTTCCAAAGTTAAGGCTGAAGTTATAGGGAGATGTAGAGGGAATAGATCTCTTGCCCCGCCCCTGCCAAAAAAACAAAAAGCAAACTCCTTAGGTTCCACAGAAAAAGCTCTTTATCTAAATATTTTATTTTTCTTCCTTACAATCTCCATACAGGGGCAAAGAGAGAGTCCAGAAACGTTTATCTTTAGTATCCTTATTGGAAACTCTATTCCTCACATTTTTGAAACAGTTTCATTACACAGGGCACCTCTAATTTTTGCCAGTTCATTTTATCTCAGAAATCAACTGCTTTGCCTTCTCTGTTGCTGAATTTCAGCTGCACTTAATCTCATTGTGGCCTGGCCTTTTTATACCAGTTTGCAGTAATGCTGAGAGAACCTTCAACTTTAAAGAATGGCTCTTCACCCCTCCCCAGTTGGAGGGGAGGAAATCAGTTAATTGCAGCCTGTCAGAGTTGTTTTAGGTGACTTTTTACTTCTTCCATTTAAGATCAACATGAACCTTAGACATTTCAGGCTGGAAATCTAAATAGCAACAGAAAAGCCTGCTTTTCACTAATGCCAGGAATGACTCATCTGGTGAGAATGGTATTGTATTGATAATACAATACAGAGAGAAGGAAAAGACTGTGGTATCTGCCTTTCTTTGTATGTCTGACCTTGAGGAGAATTATAACTTGTTTGTTGCAGAAGTTGAGCATCTAATGTGCTGATGCACCTGTTAGTTGTAATATGTTAAATGGCAAAGCACTTGCAGTTTCCCATGATTGCTTTGTGGGTGAAATATTTTGTGCAGTCTGGTGAGCTGATTTTTTTTTAAAGACTGTATTCATTTGTATTTCTCGTCTCTCATTTCTCAAAAATATGCTTTCTCATTCTATTTCAACACCCTGGCCTCATCATTAACATCTTAGAATCTGCTTGGCTTTTTATTTTCAAGGTAACATTATTATGATGTGTTTTTAATGCAGAGACCATGAACCAGGCGACTCCTGCCAGGAAGCTGGAAGAGGTTCTTCATCTAGCAGAGCTCTGCATAGAAGTCTTACAGCAGAATGAAGAGCATCATGCAGAGGTGATGGCTTCTTTTAACTGTCACATAAAGCGTCGCATAATGCTTTACCATAGTGGGAGCACCACTGAAGAAGCAGGCTTTTGATACACACCTGGCCATTTATCTACAGAAAACTGAGAACGTGTGTGCATTTCCTGGAAATATAACTCCTATATGTTACAAAGGAATCGTATATGTATATAATTTAGTATCTGTTCCTGACAACTGTCTTCCTGTGAGGAACATGGGAGAACTTATGGGATCTGCCTAAGGTGTACAACTAGTAAGAAGCAGAGCTGGAACATGAACCCCCATCTTCTGATGCCAGATCACTTGCTCTTCCCCCGTGCCCTGATTGCTTTAGTTTAGAAATGTAAGTTAATCAATGTGCAAAAGGAAAAGTAGTGATAAACTATAGGACACCAAAATTGAATAGAAGACGTTCAGAACTGCATGATTGATAACTCCAGTCTTTCACTTTTACCGTCAAACTTTTCTTTAAATTTTCACTTAAACCTTCATTTTTAAGAGATTTTTTTAAAGTTCTAGTACTAATTATATACTGACATTCACTAAAAATATAGAATGGTATTTCATCAGGCAAACTGCTTATTCTGAGACTTAAAAGTGTCATTCTTTCTAATAGCCATGAGTTTATTTTAAAAAACAAGAGTTTTCTGACTGAATTAGGTAGGGAAAATGTGTAGGATTGAATAAATGTAATAAATTTCAGTGCCCTAACAGTGCTTTTATTCTTGAGGAAGCACATGAAATGAGTAAGTATGAAAAAGACCAGGTACAGAAGAATTTATAGAATATTTGTATTTAATGAAGCCTTGTTCTCAAAAATATAAGAAACTACAGGAAGTACGTTTTAAGCAAATTCTCAGAAAAGGATATTCATGAAACCTTGCTATAGATAACTGAGATTTATTGTATCTGGTTATAAATATGATCATTCAAAACATCTGCTTTTAGCTCACACTATGGAACCTAGCTTTTACCTTGCATCTGTCATGTGTGAACTTGTTATGGATATTTTATTTTAAACTGAAGAAACAGCTGCTTCAATAATTTGAAGTGAATTCCCAGGAGGAGCTTTTCTAGGCTAATACTACCGCTATGTTACAATGAAAATGATTATATGATAAAATGTATGTGTGTGTTGTCTTTTGTTAAAAGGCATTATCATCAGAGTATTAGACCTTTTTGAATTAAAAAAAATTTCTGATTGGGTATCCAATTTCATCTAAAGAGGTACATCTAATATTCCTATACATTTCACAAAAATTACATTTAATTTTCCTGCACTAATAAGGAAAATAATAACTCTCCTGTCTTTTAAATGTAATTAGCATGATATACTCCCTGCAACCACTACATGCTTGTTAAAGTACAATGTATCCAAACACAATTAAAATGTAAATATTACTTATTTTCTAATCCACAAAAATACAGTTGACTTTTTTGAACAGAGGTAATCAAAACTCATAAATGTAACTCAACTATATGCCAAAATATAGACGTGTTATGATGACCTCTTTTTAAAATGCTTTGTAACACTATGACATGTCTTCATTCCATAATGCTTCCAAATTCTTGGGATTCTTCAGGGAAGAGAGGTGAGTAAAATTGTTTTCACCATTTTTCTAGTATGGAATAACTCTTTTATTTGAAGATAAGATAGAACACACTCTGGTTACACTTTTAAAGCCACCTTAGTCCCTCTCCTTGGAATTAAAGACTATTTCTTTAAATGGGCAACTCTTTGTTGTACTGTTTCCGTGAATGTGTCTTATTAGTAATTACATGCATAATTATTGCTGGCCGTCTAAGTACAGGCCAGCTGAGAGGATTTTGCCATTTTGGTTTTGGTTTTATCTTTCAGTGTTTTTTTGGCCTTTTTCTTTTTTTAACCAGGAGATCCAGCTTTTCCTTTGAACAGTATTGGGGGGTGAATTGATCTGATTCCCAAGTCATTTCCACAGTGAATTGATGGACTGCATTGTACACTGATGTTGATTTTGCTGAATGTCCAGGCTAGACTCTACTGCACAAAAGAGCACCCGGCCCGGCTCCCTTGGTGAAGGTTAATGCGTCTGCCTCGGAGACCTTCAGGTGGCCGTGTGTCAGCTCCTCTCATTTCCCTCTCCTTCCCTCCACAGGGGCGGTTCACTTCACAAGGCCAAGAGGTTGTTTCTGTCCTTCAGCAATTTCTCAGTTAAGCAGGTTTCACGTCCTTCAGATCTTTGACAGTAACTTACTCCTAACACAGTCCTCCCTTCTCTCTGAAGGCCTCTCCACCTCTCCCCTCAGGCTTTTCTTCCGATTTTCTGTGTTTTCTTTTGAGAAAGACAGTTTACACTCGTTTCCAGAAAATCTTGAAGGACGTCTTCCACATTCCCGTGATGAGACTGTGTCTGACCAGAAACTTAAACAAACTGATCCGACAACTGTCCATCCAAGGCCGCTCACTCTGACAAAGGCGGCAAGTCCCAGATGCCGACCAGAAAGCCTTAGGCTCTCACCAGCCCACCCCCTCTACACACACGCAGCACTTTCCTGCTAAGAAAACTTGCCAGGTGCACAGCTGGTCAGTGACGGGGTGAAGACGCAGGCCAACTCCAGCCTCCTCTCTTTCCAGGGAACCACATTGTTATTTCTTGGTTTCAGTAGAATGGCAGGTATGGGTGCCTTGTCCTAGTTTTGCTGGCAGGTTTGGCACGTAGCATCGTAGCAGGGATATAAATGCAGAGAGGAGGATGACGGTGCAAGCCTGGAGATGTCCCTTCTGTTTTGTCAGGCTCTTCTCCTGGCATATCTTGGGACTCTGCTATGGGGATGGAGAGCTGGAAATATCCCTCAGTGAAGGGGCAGAGAGAGAGGCAACATGATCGATGTGAGCACAGCTCAGGTTGTTACTTTGTGATTTATTGTTGCAGCAGAATCTTAAGTGAAGGTCCCTAAAATATTTTAAATATGATATTGTCCACCATATCAGTGACACTGTAGGCCAGGGGGATGTCTGGCGGTAATTCGGTATTTGCAACTTAGCTCTTGGTTCACTGTAAATGGTTGATGCATTCTGCCCTCCAGCTGGCTGGGTCCCAGGCTGCTCCAGCAGCAGAGTCAGGGCAGGGAGAGGAGTTCAGTACGGACACACATATTTGTGCATGTGGTCATTCACATGAACATCGGTGTCTGGACCAGATTATGTGTCTGGATGGATTCTAACATAAAGAGAATGGATGTTTGATGTTTAAATTTTTTTCCATTGTTTTTACTTCCTCATATCCTTATTCCTCTCTACCACCATGCACATCTAAGGACCTTCTTAAAGTGTATTATACAAAACTTGATCATAGACAAGATCTCTTTACTACCTACTACTAACTAAATTGCACTCATCTCAACAGTTGAGTTCATCTTATTTGCCTAGTATTTATATCTGGATAGCCAGTGAGATAAATCGACATTTTCTTTTTTAGGGCGGGTTTAGGGTTAGATTAGCCTGTGGTCCAACAAATTTTCCTCTTTTTGGAAGAAGATGACCAGTAAGTGGCTTTCATACAACTAAGCTACAGAGGCAGAATTCAATTTGCAGCAGTGACTCTCAAACGAAACTGCATCGGCAAAAATATCCTACCAAAAATGTTTGTTAGTCACTCACTGACTTATAAATGTATAATGTTAAGAGTAGCAGTTTACCCCAACATGTTCTGAAGCATTTTCAGTTCTTCATCTCACTTGGTTATTTCAATATTTATATCCATCTATGAACACAATTAGGGAAA